TGTCACAGGTGTCAATTTTATTTCTGCCAGACTCACAGATATCTATTTTATTTCTGCCAGACCTCACAGATGTCTATTTTATTTCTCACAGATGTCAATTTTATTTCTGCCAGATGTCACAGATGTCTATTTTATTTCTGCCAGATGTCACTCTGTCTTTCTGTATATAGTTTCTCTTTTTATACCTTCCAATGATACACACACATGCTAGAAACAATAACAGCTAATGCACTTATCTTATGCTATAAATTCGGCCGTGTAAATAAATATATCGATAGCTAAATTTAAATGAAACCACAGTGACCTGTTCTATTATCAAAATAATTGTGCCACATTGATGGGTTATTGTGAATCCCTGTGAAACAGAAAATCAGAGATTATGAGAACATTTGTGTCGCAATATTTTTGAGCTGTGACATCACTAATTTTAGATCAGGATCAGTCATGAGATGGCAGAAATGCAGGCTATCAAGAATCTGTGTCTGTAAGTAAGGTCATTTGTGTAAATGGTTCATTGATTGGGATTAATTTAAGTTTATTTTAAATTTTCTTTAATTGTTTGGATTTGATCACGTTTAGTATGGTAATGTACAATTCTCTGAAAATGGATTTGGAAGTGTTCATTGTTCAGAATATTTTAATAAGATCATGAGGAGAAATGAGATTTGGTCAACATTCACGTGTAGAAATTTGAAGCTAAGCAAACACTGATTTATTCATATAGGCAGCTCATGTGATTGGAATTTGGTTTATGCATTTAACCAGGTTCCTAAGTTTGTTTTCTTACTTATTTAATAACTCTGATTATACTTTTTACCAAAAATGGGTCACTTGGGAGACATTCCCATAGGAACGTGCACAAACTTTACTGCCCCATAATTAAATATTCCCTAATCTGATCTGAGCCAAACTTTGTATGTTTTCAATTTAGACCCTAATCTATCATCTCTCAAAATTTGGGCCGTAAAATTCGGCCTCTTTCTGGTAGTTGGAGCATGTCTCCCTAATGACCGATGTCTCCCTAAGGTCGAAAAATTTACCACAAAATGTCTCCCTAATGACCCATTTGTAAGAATATGCGTTCTCTTCTTTCGTATGCTGCTAGCGTCCCATCCTCGTATACTCAGCTCAGTGGTGTGGAGCCAATGCCCGTGTATTGTTGTCCAGGGTAATTATGCCAGGTACACCGTTGGATGGCCAGTATAAAGGGCAGGACTCGATGATGTGATCAGCTGTCTGTTCAAGTTGTCCACAGTCACATGCAGCGGAGTCCTTTAACCCCCATCCTTTCATGGTGGCGGTGAAGCGGCCGATGCCAGTTCTGAGAAGGTTGAGAATTGTCCATTGCCTATGTGGCAGGTCGTCACCTGGTAGTTTGTCCGGCACCTCAATGAACCTATGCAGCCTGGAGTAGTCTGCTGCCTGCCACTCTTCTGACTGACGGTGTTTAAGCCATAGTTTTTTGCGACGTCCTCCAATGAAGAGTTCAGCAGCTGATAGACGTGCTCCACAAAGGGACATCGAGACTTCAGGCGTGCATGTTGCGGAGAGTCCGTCACAGTATTACGGAGGAGGTGGTCCTTGTCGTTGATGGCCTTGTGAGACAGAGCCAGGAGACTTTGCGTAAGGCGTTGAGTGTCGTATCCAGCTTCTTGGTGTGGCATGTATGGGGGCTCCTGCACCAGACTGGAGAGCAGTACTTAGCGGCAGAGAAGACCAATGCCATGACCAATTATATGTGTTGTCAATCCTTGTTACAACCTTAAGCCAATTTCAGTTTAGTTTCTAATCTCGCGAGTGGTACACATTTGGATCATGTATTGACATTCAGTTCCTGTGAATACTAACTTGATTGAGGATGTAAATAAATTGTTGTATATAAAAGTATAAGTAAATTTATGTAAATATATGTATAAAGGTCAATATTTGAATTTCTCTCAGCATCTTATGCAAGTGGTTTAGGGAAGACAAATGGAGAACACTAAATTTCTTCTTGTGGTAAATTAAATTCCTGGTGTGACAACGTACTCAAATATAGCACTGGTTAATTTAAATACCCACCAATGATTAGATTGTAAGGGGATGAATAAATCCTCTCTGTGTACAAGTCCCCATTTTCTTTCTCAGTCTGGCATTGAACTAAAGTTGATCACCAAAGTTGTCTCAATCTGAACAAGTTTAGGTTTCAACAAATGTTCCCTGGTATGGTTTCTTGCAACCTGCTTTTTTATCTGACAGCACATTTGACTTGTTTCTTTATAATTGAAGCATCAGTATTACATGTACGTCCAAAGTTTGAAATATCTTAAAAGCATTACTAAGCTTAGTAGCCAAAATTCTGTAAAGTTCTATCACCGATGTCATTGTATTTGTTTTGGTGTAGCCTATAGTGTCGAAATGGAAGTCTCAAACAATGTTTTACAAACACGTTTTTTGTAGCGGTCATAACCCAAGAACTTGTTCTGTTGCTTCCATTTTATAGTGTTATATGCTGGAATACTGCATCATTCTGCACGTCATGTGATCTGTAATTCACCAATCAGATGCTGGCGATTTTCTCAGGCATTCTGTAATATACAAATAATGAATAATTATGGTGCAGTGGCAAACACACGTTAATGAGGAAAAAGCTTGTGTGGCCCATTAAAAACATGCAGAGGCACAAATTTCAATGTCATTTTCTCTCAGCTTCTGCACTTTTCCTTTCACTTTTGCATCTGGAAAATCCTCTAAAATCATTATTGCTATTACTTTCTGTTCTAAAAAGATTTTACACTGCACTAAATAAAAAAAAGTCTTGCATTCTCCCCTAGTGCACCAAGTCAAAAGAAACTAACAGGGCTCCTTTTCGACCATGTCTAACTGAATAGTTTTGTACTTCAGGGTACTATGCGCCATTTGTTCTACACTGAATCGCATGCTGCAAGCAGGGTGCCTTCAGACTGGTTTAGGTTTGTTTTGCCACTTACATAGTTGGAGAATGGTGGATGGTACCCTAATGTATGGCATAATTGTTTTATAGCTTACATAGAATGGAACCCTAATGATTTCTTTTGCTCTCGGGCACTTTAAATGAATGAAATTTTTCAAGCTTTTCTTTTGCTCCCCTGTACACTCGTCATGCAACTGACCGGGCAGCATATGGATAAAGCCAAATGTTTTGAACATCAAATTCCCTCCAATTAATCAGCTTAACACACGGGTCATCTTTTTAAGCTAACTATTTACGCCAAATTTCAAACAGTTCAATTTCAAAAAGTGTGATGTGCAGGGTCAATTGAAAGTCTTTTTCCATCACCAAGACCTCATACTTAATTTCTCTGACACTAGTTGAGAATTGTAGGCTGTGTTCTCAGCTATTTACATGGAAGGAAACTGGCACAAAAATTGAACTTTAGCAAAACTTTATACAAATAGAGTGATGTCCCAGTTACACAGACAGCCACAACCAGTGGTTTTTTTCAAGTATCATGCTTAACAATTTCAGAATGTTCTCAAACATTCCAGACCGACTAGAAGTCACCTAAATAGCAATTGAGTTCATCTGAGTGACCATTCATACCTAATTCGGAAGTATGTCCAAATGTCATAAAATGTTCCTCAACTTGGTAGGATGACACAAATTGCTCTAGTAGTTTGACATTGTTTCTTTAAATTAGAAGCCCCAGCATTATTTTACATTTCTAAGAATTCAGAGATGTCTTCATCAATTAAACTAGGTTGGACTAGTACTTCACATTTGCTGACAGACCATCTGCCATTTGCTCGGAAGAGGTGTGTTACAGCAACCATGTGTAGTGCTAGCATCCACACTGGTTTGACCAAAATGACCCTGCAGAGTTATATTTGCAATTTTTGTCATGAGGGTACCACAAATTGGGATGAATATTGCATGTTAAGTGTTCTACAATTCACAAATCAGATGGTTGGGATTTATTCAAGCATTGTATCACAAGGATTGACATACCTACATCAGATCCTCCCCTTTTCTCAGTCATCCATTGCCCTGAGGTCCAACATTCATTCCCATTTCTGGTAGTCAGATGAGGAACAGCTCTTGCTTTTATTCCTGGGTACTTGTTTCCATTTATCTGATATAAAATTCAACAATGTGATTAAAGGCATTTGTACTTAATCTTCCCTTTTTGGTCAACACAATATTTTCATGAAAAAAAATTTACATTGTAGGAGAAATGCAAGAAAAATTGAAGCAATAATCAACAGATAGGGATTACAGATTCTAAATTATTGTTTACTCTCATATCTTGAGATTTATATTTAACTCGTGACAGACAAAATATCTTTATGTTTTGTCCATAAAAATACCGGTTTCTGGCAGTGATGTTTTTGGCAAAATGACATACAGCTTGCTTGCCTCTCCAGGTACATGTATTGGGCATTTTTGTATAAAACTGGAATTTCAGCAGTTGTCTCTGGAAGTCTTGGGACCACAATTTGGTGGCCTATATTTGCAAGGATGGCTGATGGGTTCAGAAGTTAAGTGCTCCGTCAATCTTCATTGGTGGATGTGTATATGTAATAATATATAGTCATGTCTTGTTAATGTGGCTGTTGTATTTTTGATTTTTAGTTGTATTGGAAATGTTGGCTGACTGCTACATCTTGCCTTTCTCACAAGTTGCTTTTTACAGCCGAGACTGATTCCACCTACAACCGCTTGGCAAATATATAGCAGTTCCAATTGCTTCACCTTGCAGATTGACTGACATGACTTGTACACACTGTATTCAGAAGTAGGTCTGGCATTTTGCTTCTACAGTTGCACAGACTCTCTAAATCTTGAAAAAACAATGAATGAATACAGGAATGGGCGTATGAAAGAATGCATGCATTAAACAGCCAAATGGATAGACAAACACACCTGCAGTAGTAAACCAACAAGTCAACAAACAACACAACAAAAATGATACAAAAATAAGCAAGCTAAAATCCCTCAGATCCCCATTCAGCATATGTAAAGAGTTGAACACGACTGAATAT